GACAGACGTATACGCAGAAGTAGATAATAAAGAGGTCTCCCATAGAATGGCTGACAGACATATAAAAAGAAGTAGATAATAAAGAGGTCTCCCATTGATTGGCTGACAGACATATACACAGAAGTAGATAATAAAGAGGTCTCCCATTGATTTGCTGACAGACATACACAGAAGTAGATAATAAAGAGGTCTCCCATTGATTGGCTGACAGACATATACACAGAAGTAGATAATAAAGAGGTCTCCCATTGATTGGCTGACAGACATATACACAGAAGTAGATAATAAAGAGGTCTCCCATTGATTTGCTGACAGACATATACACAGAAGTAGATAATAAAGAGGTCTCCCATTGATTGGCTGACAGACATATACACAGAAGTAGATAATAAAGAGGTCTCCCATTGATTGGCTGACAGACACATACACACAAGTGGATTGGCTGACAAAGACGATGGTTTACCTGAGGTTGTAGCCAGCCTCGGCCAGCCAGGACATGGAGGGCTCAAACAAGGGCTTCAGCCTCAAGCCTCGCTGGAAGATGTGGCGGTGACCCCTCAAGGCGCTCCAGGCCAGCACACCCACATCAACGGCGAACAGGCGGACAATCACACCGGCGATCAGCATCAGAAGCTGGGTGGGTTATTAATCATGCTTACATCAGAATCGTCATACAAAAATAATGGGTGAGGTGGGGCGGGGGAGGGGCGGGGTTTACAAAACAGAGACAGGGAGCAGGAACTCTATTGCGTGCAACTCTCTCGATCTCGGACACGGAGTTCAGCCAAGCGCTTTTAGCTTCTCATAATAATGTTCTTCTTTATGGTTCCCTTTGACGTGTTCTTTTCCTCAGACCATTTGTTTTCCATTTCAGTACTTGTTGTGTAATTCTGGCTCATTTCGTCTCAAAATATGCCCTGTGTATCTCCACCTTCTTTATCTTATTGCAGTAAATCCGTTATTTGTCCCGACATTTCACTGATCTCCACACTTTTTAAAATGCATTCCATGTTATGTACATGATTGTTCCTAGATATGTGTTTTCAAATGCATTTAACTTTCGTTCCACATCTTTGGTAATTCTCCAACTTTCACTCGCATATTTTATAATTGAAATAACGTTAAATCTGAAGATTCGCAGTTGGGTCCTAAGGTTGTAAAACTTGAAGTTCCAAATTTTTTTTAAGGCAATAGTCCTATGTAGTCACTTTATAGTTAGTGCAGATTTGTGTATGTGTGTGTGTTGTTCTTTATGTGCTGATGAAGGCTAATCACCGCAACGTCCTTTGTTTGTTCCTTGCGATCGATTTTGTAACATAAACTATTTGTTCTTTTTTACCCCCTTCTTCTCTTCCCCATAATTTCCAACCCTTTTAAAAACACATCTATTAACGGATTTACACGGAGCAGCCTACCTTTCCTGTCATGTTCTGTACCAGCCAGGGTAGACATAACGTTATCCAACTGCTGTAGACCAGACAGTAGACAAAGACATCAACTAGTGGAGTATGGCAGGCACCAGAGTACACCACGATCCAACTCAGTAGGACAGAGGCCAACAGGATAAACAGCGTTTTCTTGGTCAACTCCTGGCTGGACACAGGGATGGAGCGTTAGTAATATGTGCTTGTATAATTGTGGTAAGATGCCGAATGGTTGATAGTTAAACTCATACTGTTTCATTATTATATAGTGAGAGGTATTTTAGTTATAATCTTGTGTTGGCTGACTTGCTGGTTTGTGGACTGGTTCTATACATTTCTTTTACTGAATTGTAGATCTTTCCTCGTGAAAATTCTGATGCAACATTTGTGGAGGATTAAAAAGGAGGGAGGGGAGGGGGCACTGCCCCATGAGAAGCATGTCGTAAAAGTGGACTAAATAGAGATATTTTCTTCAAACTCAGAGTTATTCTCACTGAAAGGCATAGAAATAAACCAGATCTGCAAGAAAAACTCAAGTCCCGAAACAAGACTAAAATCCAGAAGTAGATAAAACAACCAAAACTTGTCGCCACTGTTTCCAGACGCTGTTTACAGCCGCTGTTCACAGCCGTTGAACGCTAAGAAGAAAACAAAAAGATCTGCTCATGACGGATTCTTTACCTTGACTGGACATCAGGGTAGACTAGAGTAGATCCTGGTGTAGATGTTACCAGTGCCCTAATTGTGACTTTTTAGGAGACATCAGATTTTACAAAGATATGGGTGCGGGGGACGGAGCCTTGGTTTGGCGCCAAGTTTCAAAATCCAACTTAGATGATCAAACTTTTAAGAAAGAGACTTACGACTAATTTTCAAGCTCCTCAACGATTAAAGCAGCCGACAATACTGAGTGAGAAGCAAACAGCGAAATTTACATTTTGTTAAAATGGCCAGTAAATACTGACAACATGAGGGTTAACAGAGTGGGGTGGTTTTGGGAAGGCGTGGTACATGTCACACGTTAAACTCTGTGCGGACTTTTGGTTACATTGTAAATGTCAGGGTCCGCTGGATGACCTAACGGTTAAACGGGAGTTTCTGAGGTTTGTAGGCGTGAGATCCTCATCCGAGTATAGGACACATTACATCGTGTGCCACCGGGTGTTAAACGCTCAGTGTTCGGTCCAACTAGTTATTATGTAACCGTTAGAGGAGCGGCTGGTGGAGGGGTTACAATATCCGGCACTCATGCTGGAGACCCGAGTTCCACCCCAGGTAGAGTGATGGAAGTTTTTCTGTCAGAGGCACAGTTAAACATGCTAACCTGCATAGTCCTTGGCAATAGCAATAGCTAGGCGACGCTAAACCCCCAGGTTCAAGCCCCACCCCCCCCCCCAACCCCCTGTCTTCACTGACCTAAAAAGTGGTAAAACAGACAGCAGTGACAGTGAGTGGCCTTCAGCGTTCCCCATTATAACTGTTATACGGTTTTGGGTTTTGTATCTGTTTGATTCTCTCTTAAAATGTTAATCTTGCAGACTGGAGCTCTAGAGGGAACATAATGCCCACCCCCCTCCCCCGTGTGGGTTCCGGGGCCCCATTGTGGGGAAAACAAAAATAGACCCACTGATTCTCCAAAATCTTGTCGTAAGAGTCGACTAATTGGGGAGCTTCCTTTGAAGTCGGAGTTCATCTGTCGGAGAGGCAAGGTATTCTCTGTCTTTCAATATGTTCCATGCATGCTCTTGTTCCAACTTTGTCTCTAATGCTGACGTTTGTGACTCTGTCTCTTCGTGTATTGTTGGTGACTCTTCGGAGACATCGCATTTCACACGTAGTTATTTTTTGCATATGTGATTTGTTCATTGTCCACGTTTGGCACTGATAACATAACGTAGGGATGAAAATGCTTTTGATCATCCGTTGTTTGGCTGGTAAGGAAATCTTTGGATGACGAAGTTCATCTGTCGGAGAGGCAAGGAACCAACAGTCTGTATTCAAGAGAATGAGATCTGTAAAACTGATGCACATGCAACACTCAGATTCTGGAGCAGGACTGCAGTTCAGTAGTGGACGAGCAACCAGAACCTTCCGCCAGAGTGTACAGCTGGTGAACGCGAAGAAGAAAAAAGAAGACAATGACTACCTTCATAAATGGCAGAGAACAGAGAGACAAAAACTATCTACAGAAAAAGCTTTGAGTGTGAGTAGACCAGGCGGCAGGTAGAAAGATAATCTACAGGCAGACCAACACACACTTGGAGTCACCAATTTGAAAGAGAAGGCCATTCGGAGAGATGTATGTTGGCGAGTGATATCTGCAGCAGTGAAGATGTATGTTGGCGAGTGATATCTGCAGCAGTGACGATGTATGTTGGCGACTGATATCTGCAGCAGTGAAGATGTATGTTGGCGAGTGATATCTGCAGCAGTGAAGATGTATGTTGGCGAGTGATATCTGCAACAGTGAAGATGTCTGTTGGCGAGTGATATCTGCAGCAGTGAATCTCAAGGGCTGGAAAAGATGAACAAGAAGCAGGAGGGAGAGACTGAATGAGAAATCTAGCATTTGCCAAGTCTGCTATCTAGGAGGTGACTATTTCAGTGGTGGTCAAATTATTTTGAAAATTAAAATGGTGTTGATACGAATATATTATAAATATCTTGCTATTTATGTGAGTATATGTTTTCAAGTGTTGTGAGACCTGCTTGTATAGCTGTATAGGGAACATTAAACATCAGATAGCTTAGACAGTTTAGGCAAAAGGGGTTGTGGCTGGCCTCAGGGGACCTATCATAGTTTAAGAACATAATAATAATAATAAAACTAATGTACTGAATTGTAAATACACATAAAAGCATATTTGAAGTATTATAAAATGCACACAAGTGGTCGACAAGGGCTGTTTAGCCTGACTATATAAATACTGGCAGAGTTTTTCATCGTGTAACAGGGTGTAACATTGGGTGACAGCGTTTAACATAGGGTGACAGGGTGTAACATTGGGTGACAGGGTTTAACATGAGCTGACAGGGTGTAACATAGGGTGACAGGGTGTAACATAGGGTGACAGGGTTTAACATCGGGTGACAGGGTTTATCATCGGGTGACAGGGTTTATCATCGTGTGAAAGGGTTTAACATCGGGTGACAGGGTTTATCATCGGGTGACAGGGTTTATCATTGTGTGAAAGGGTTTAACATCAGGTGACAGGGTTTATCATCGGGTGACAGGGTTTATCATCGGGTGACAGGGTTTATCATCGGGTGACAGGGTTTAACATCGGGTGGCAGGGTTTATCATCGGGTGGCAGGGTTTATCATCGGGTGACAGGGTTTAACATCGGGTGACAGGGTTTATCATCGGGTGACAGGGTTTATCATCGTGTGAAAGGGTTTAACATCGGGTGACAGGGTTTATCATCGGGTGACAGGGTTTATCATTGTGTGAAATGGTTTTACATCGGGTGACAGTGTTTATCATCGGGTGACAGGGTTTATCATGGGGTGACAGGGTTTATCATCGGGTGACAGGGTTTAACATCGGGTGGCAGGGTTTATCATCGGGTGACAGGGTTTAACATCGGGTGACAGGGTTTATCATCGTGTGAAAGGGTTTAACATCGGGTGACAGGGTTTATCATAGGGTGACAGGGTTTAAGATAGGGTGGCAGGGTGTAACATAGGGTGACGGGGTTAAACATAGGGTGACAGGGTGTAACATAGGGTGACGGGGTTTAACATAGGATGACAGGGTTTAAGATAGGGTGGCAGGGTTTAAGATAGGGTGGCAGGGTTTAATATAGGGTGACAGGGTTTAATATAGGGTGACAGGGTTTAAGATAGGGTGGCATGGTTTAACATAGGGTGACAGGGTGTAACATAGGGTGACAGGGTTTAACATAGGGTGACAGGGTTTAACATAGGGTGACAGGGTGTAACATAGGGTGACAGGGTTTAACATAGGGTGACAGGGTTTAACATAGGGTGACAGGGTGTAACATAGGGTGACAGGGTTTAACATAGGGTGACAGGGTTTAACATAGGGTGACAGGGTTTAACATAGGGTGACAGGGTTTCACCGGGACAGTGCCCATTTATAAGTGTGTCCTAGCCGTCCTGTCAGTACTCCAATTGTCCCGTGTCATCACTATCTAGCGATGAGCTGGAAAATAGAACATACACTTGTCATTATCTATGTAGACCTGTTAGGATTTCATAGTTTTTAGAAATTTAAATGCCTGAAACGTGCTGATGACAATGGTAAATGCAGAATACCCCTACCCCTCCACCCCCCCCCCGCCCTCTCCCCCGCCCCACGAGTGCAAGTAAATAAATAGGTAATAGGTCGGCTTATAATGCTATGGTAGAACGAGTTATTAATCCGGTTTCCTCGGTGACAATGACCCCCCCCCCCCCCCCCCCCCCCCAAGGGAAGGGAAGACCGGGGTGGGGGGGGGGGGGCACGAGGTGAGCGGATTTTTTTAAATGTCCCGTTTTCACTTAAAATTTTAGAGGGATGTCATGTTTTCAGTTCAAAAAATTATTGCGATATCCCGTTTTCAGCTTAAACCATTATGGTCACCCTAGTTTAACACTCCTCCACACCTGACCAGAACCCCTAAAATTTTACTATTGGGGGAAAGGAGGGGGGGGGGTGGCCTCCAGAGGGCCCAGGTATCAGCATCTATGGTCATTAAAATGAGCTATGCTTGAAAACCTGGAAATAAGAAAGAACAAATATTACCTGAGAAAAAACGACAGTTTGCAGCAGAACTCATAGATAGTTTTCTCCTCTGCCATCCTTGTGGTTACAAGCCGCATGACGCCGTTTGTTATTGCATTAAGATTTCCTCTGGTTGGAATGGAACACACTTACTCTTTTTTTTTTTTTTTAGTACATGGTTTTACTAAGTTTAATTATTCGACGTCCTGGTGATGGTTAGTATATATAATATATGTATATATAGAATATATATTATATATATATATATATATATATATATATATAATATATATATATAATAATATATCTGTGTGTGTGTGTGTGTGCCTGTGTGTGTGTTATATACTATATATATATATATATCTATATATATATATATAATATATAATATCATCATCGTAGCAGGTTTTTTTGCAGAACGTCGCTATCATCACCAGTCTGCCTGAAAGAAACTCGGTCTCTCGCCAGCTCTCCCGCCTCATGTACTTTGACACTCAAGGAGTCACTTATTTCCTGTGACCATCTTCGTGTTGGTCGGCCCTTACTCCTCCTTCCTGGTACCCTGCCTTCTGTTATATTTTTTTCAAATCCCCATATATATATATATATATATATATATATATATATATATATATATATATATATAATCATGATATCATCCAATGAGGATGAGGATCACCCGTCGAAAGGTCCCGGAAACCGCGTTCAGCCATTAGACCATATTTATGGCCGGGCTATATTGCGGCCCCTGGCAAGAGCCAGAGTAGGGCTTCAAATAACGAAAAAATTGCATCCCACAAGGGTATGACAAGATAACCTACATCGTTACCGAATTAGGACCGACAACTCAAGCAAGCAAAAGACTTAAGTATCTCGGGAAAATAAAATCATCCACCGAAAAAAAAAAAAAGAACCGGAAGCATATATAGAACACAGATACGATAAAGAAAGTCAAATCCCTGGACAAATGTCCCCAATATTGCAGAACAAACGTGTACCAATTCAGATCAAAATAGCACTGTTAAATACAGCATATTTATCAAAATTGTGTTACCAGTGACAAACATTGATATTGTCAACAAAAGAAGACAAAAAGAAACATTAAAACAACAGAAACGAAATGTCTTTGACAAATCCTAAAGGTAACTAAAAAAAAAAAAAAAACAGGATCAGAAATGACGATATCAGGAAAGAAGTCGGGTTAGGACAAGTAATAAACTACATCAAGAGGCTACAGATTAAATGCTTTAGACATGAGTGAAGAGTACCATGAGATAATGTTGCACAGAGAGGCCATGTCCCCGAGACCAAATGGAGGTAGAACAAGAGCTCGACCAGGAGAGCGCAGAT